CCAGTCACCAACATCAAAGGATTAGATTTTATCTAGGGGCGAGATTTCCTGAAGCAGTTCAACCCCGAGATCGATTGGGTCAACAGCAAGGTGTGCATCTACAACAACGGGAAACGAGTGGAGCTGCGAAGCTGGACGGATACAGGGGACGTACCTGAAACGACACTGGCACGTTTCGAACAGACGGTGAACAAGAGTAACACGGGTTACCTAGCACTGGTTATGGCAGCAGCAGAGGAGAAGAAGCCGAGTTCCGAGCTACCTGCAGCAGTGAAAGAGGTCTTGGAGCAGTACAAGGATATAATGCCCGACGACCTACCTGCAGGCGTACCTCCAGCACGCACCCACGAGCGCGAGATCGTGGAGGAACCAGGTGCGAAACCCGTCTCGCGTGCACCATATCGTCTGAGCCCGACTGAACTGACAGACATGAAAAAACAGATAGAGTATCTACTGGACAGACAACTGATCCGCCCATCCACCTCTCCCTACGGCGCACCAATTCTCTTCACTCCATAACCAGACGGCAGTCTACGGATGTGCATCGACTACCGCGCACTGAACAAACAGACAGTCAAAAACAAATATCCCATACCGCGTATAGACGACCTACTCGATCAACTGCGTGGAGCAACAGTATTTTCGAAGCTGGACCTACGATCGGGCTACTGACAGATCAAGATGGCAGAAAACTCCGTCCACAAGACAGCGTTCTGTACCAGATCCGGCTCCTACGAATACTTGGTGATGCCGTTCGGACTCTGCAACGCACCAGCAACGTTTCAGGCGGAGATGAATCACATCTTACGACCCTTGCTGGACGAATGCGTGGTGGTGTACCTGGACGACATTCTCATCTACTCCAAGAACATGAAGGAGCACGTGGAGCATCTGCGGAAGGTGTTCGAGATCCTGCGGAAAAACAAGTTCTACGTGAAGCTGTCAAAGAGCGACTTCGCCCTGAAGAAGGTGCAGTTTCTCGGGCACATGGTGAGTGCCGAGGGCGTACACGTGGACCCACGGAAGATCAAAGCCGTCAAGAAGTGGAAAGTACCAGAGAACGTGAAGGAGTTACAGCAGTTCCTAGGCTTCGCCAACTACTACAACAGGTTCGTGCCGCAGTACGCTAAGATAGCAGCGCCGCTGACCGACCTACTGAAAAAGGATACGCCCTACAAATGGGATACCCTTCATCAGCAAGCCATGGAGCAGCTACAGACAGCACTGACTACAGCGCCAGTACTCATCTTGCCGGATCCAAACAAGGACTACGTGGTGGAAGCAGACGCTAGTGAACAAGCAGTCAGAGCAGTACTGATGCAGGATCACGGGCGCGGTTTGCAGCCCATCGCCTACCTCAGTAAGAAGCTACACGGAGCAGAACTAAACTACCCGGGATAGCGAAGTATTACTACTGGCCCGGGATGGCAGCACACGTGCAGCAGTTCGTCACCTCTTGCGACACGTGCCAGCGGATGAAGAGCAGCAAGCAGAAAAAAGCAGGGTTACTTCAGCCTCTACCCGTACCGGAGCAGCCATGGCAGGTCGTTAGCCTCAGCTTCATCACAGGGCTTCCTTCGACCTCACGGGGACATGATTCCATCCTCGTGGTGATCGATAAGTTCTCCAAAATGGGTCACTTCATACCGACCAACGCCACAGCTACAGCTGAAGCAACTGCTCGACTCTTCTTCGACCGCATCATCACCATCCACGGCATCCCCGCTACACTCATCTCAGACAGAGACCCCAAATTCACCAGTAAGTTCTGGAAGGAGCTCATGGGACTGTTGGGGACAAAGCTTGCAATGTCTTCAGCATACCACCCCCAGACTGACGGACAGACAGAGCGACTCAATCAAGTGGTTGAACAGTTGCTGCGCACAGCTTGCAAGGACGACGTCAGCCACTGGGACACACAGCTACCAACCCTAGAGTTCGCTTTCAACAACGCATCACATGCGGCCACAGGGAAAACTCCTTTCTTCCTGTGTTACGGACGGGAACCACTCACACCACAGCAGCCAACTACACCGGCACACGTCCAAGCCGCACATGACTTCGTCACCACCATGCAGCAGCTATGGGAGAAGACTCAGCGACAACTCACCACGATGCAGACCTCCCAGAAGCAGTATGCCGATCGTCGGCGACGTGATCACTCAGTAGCAGTCGGAGATCAGGTGCTTCTTGACACGCGCAACATGAACTTGTCTCACCTCCCATCCAAACTCCGGCCTCACTTCTGTGGTCCTTTTCTCGTTGAGGCACAGGTGACACCAGTTACATTCCGCTTGCGCTTACCAGATACGTGGAAGCTTCACAATGCTTTCCATGTGCAGCTACTGAAACCCTACAAGGACCCCAACCAACAGTTCAAGGGACGGCAGCTACCGCCACCTCCACCTGTTCTTGTACAGGATGAACCCGAGTACGAGATCGAGCGCGTCCTCTCTCATCGGCGCCGCGGCGGCAAGACCCTCGAGTTCGTGATACGCTGGAAGGGATACGACCCCACTGAGGACAGTTGGGTTGCAGAAGCTGATATGGGCAACGCACGCCATGCTCTCAAAGAATATCTTGTCAAGTAGGGTGTATCTCACGCCACCCAGCTTTGAGGGGGGGACGTGTGAGAGTACGACGGCTTATGCCAGCTATGCTTGCTTGCCTTTACTTTATCATGCTATTTCTAGCATAGGATAATTATATGCATGCATGAATTGCTTGATTTCCTAGGCTAGGTGCTTTCCTATATTTTATTATAGTTATAGCACCGAGCTAGGTTGCGTGCACCGAATTCTAGCTTTTCGGTTGCCACCGAATCGCCTTCTACCGAATTCGGTAAGGATCCGTTCGGGACGCTACGCGGCCCGCGGAGCCTTCGCGTAACACCTGGTTACGGGGCCTTGTGTCGAGCCTATATATAGCCTCGTGTTGTACCCAGGTGAAGACATTCAATTCGACTCAATTCTCATTCTCTTTTCTGAACTCGATCCTAGATCCTCACACCGCCCGTCCGTCGCGGCGCCCTAAGGAGCCGCGCGCGCCACCCCTCCCCCCCGCCCTGCCCGTCACCCGCGCTCCTGCCCCTATCCCACCCGTTTTAGGGTTTGGGGGTGGGGAGTGTGGGGGTGGCGGTTGTGGGGGTGTCGGTTGTGCGTTACTCCCATTGCTCCTCCTCCCTCGTCTCCCACTGCTGCAGCTACCGCTGAGGGGGGTGGGTGTGTGGGAGCCTAGGGTTTAGGGTTTAAGGGGGGTGCCGTGGGAGTGGAGCTAAGGTTCAGCAGGGGGTGTGTGAGAGGGGCGTGGGGCAGCTGGGGGAGGTTGTGTGAAGGTAGCTGTCGTGTCGCCTGAAGCGCCTGTAGTCCGTCGCCCTTGCTTCGGTAGCCAGTGAGCCTGTTGCACCAGTCGCCAGTGGGTCCGTTGCTCCTGCCGCTCGTCTATAGCCGCGGAGCCAGTCACTCCAGTAGTCCGTCGCCCTTGCTTCGGTAGCCACTGAGTCAGCCGCTCCTGTGCCGGTGCCTCTGCAGCTTCAGTCGTTGCCTCGCATCTTCTCTCCCTCCACAGTTCCTCCTCCTCCTCACTTGCCCGCTGGGATTAACTCTAGCTTTGCTTACTATTGTGAACTCCTGCTCTATGCCTGCTTGCTCATTGTGCTGATTACACCCACTTTGGCTATGGGGGTGTGTCAGAATGTTATTATCTAGCCTGTAGTGGGGTGCTCTATAACGGGTACAACCCAGCTAGGGTTTGCTATATGTATCCCAACTGCTGCTAGTGAAAACCTCTCTCTTTTGCCTAACTTTCTCTAGCCATGGCTCGTAACTCTGTCTACTATTCTCACAATACCAGCGCAAGGTGGTTCACAAGAGTTATCATAAACGCTTCCGCTATTACATCATTCATATCTTGAATTTAGTCCTGCAAAGATCCTAAGGGCTTTTCTCAGCCCAACAACATGTTTTTATCATCTCATTTTACATTCACTCTGCTATTGAGATCAAGGGCCCACCAACACTAGACTAGAAGTGTGCGAACCTTCCTAAGGTGAGCCTGGTTACGATCATCCATTGATCGCAGCTACCATGTTCAAGTTCGATATCACTGAAACACGTGCAAGTTCGCCGAAAACCCGCTCCAAAGAATTATCGAATTAATAAATAGAAGTGCAGCGCGCTAAGGGTACATTCCGCTCAGGACATGTAACAGAAGTGTTACAAACATTATTTGTGACTAATTGTAGTTCGAAAACAATGTTCGTGACTAATTGTGATACAGCGATGAAAAAATCGTGACAAATTGTGATGCTTCGAACCAAGAACAGTCACGATCTATCTAGATGTCTTACCAGGAATGGTTATTTACTTGCTATTCATGATTTTCGGCCATACACAATTAGTCACAAATATGAGTTACGAGGTCACAATTAATCACAAATACGTTTGTGACACTTTCGTTTGTGACATCTCCTCAGCGAAATGTACCCTGACATCTAACCTTCACATAACAACCTATATGCATGTCCATCACTGTGAGAGTGCCATGGATGCTCCACAATGGACTTCACTGCGAGCTTCAACCTCAAACATATGGTATGAGTCAGCCATGGGATTTGTTGCCGGGTCACTCTCGCGCTGTTTCAGTGGTACCAAACCCGTGTATTCTTCAAAGGGTCTACTTCAAAGTGTCATTGCATTTTCTTGCGATATCCCCCACCAAACATCAGATCAGATCCTTTCCCCCACCATTCTCACTCCCCCCCTCTCCCTCAGTATTCAGATACACCCCTCCAATGCTGTACCTGCAACCCCCTATTTCACCGCTCCACTCTCACAATCAGCTTGTTCTTTTTCCCTGATCCCAGCAGCAGCATGCTTCCCCCCACCAAATCCTCCTCCCCAACCACCCTCTCCCCCACACTCCCCCCACCGCTCACCTCGTTATTCAGATACATTCCCCCCTGCTGCACAAGCCGCCTTGCTGCCCTGCAACCCCCTATTTCACCGCTCCACTCTCACAATCAGCTTGTTCTTTTTCCCCGATCCCAGCAGCAGCATGCTTCCCCCCACCAAATCCTCCTCCCCCACCACCCTCTCCCCCTCCCCCACCTTCTCATTGTTCAGATACATCCCTCCCTGCTGCACAAGCCGCCTCGCCGCCCCCTTGCTACCCACTAGCTTCGATGCCGCTGCCACGTCAGCAACGGTTCGGCCAATCACGTCGGCCCATGGGAGCGAGGTGGAGGGTGCATCAGCAGCGATTGCTTCGAGAGTGGCCGGGTCTAGTCTGGTGGAGGTGGAACCTGGGGGAGGGGGAGGGGAGTGAGGGAGGAAGCGGGTTGGAGGCATGGGAAATTCAAGAGTCACGACACGAGAAGCAGCAATATGACAACCAGGTGCATGAGGCAATAGCTTCGAATGAGGTGGAGGGAGCAGCCCCAGCGATGACTTGGAGCGTGGCTGGGTCTAGTCTGGTGGAGGTGGAACCTGGAGGGGTTACCTGGAGAAGGTGCAGCGAGGGTGTTATCTGGGGCAGGTGGTACCTGGTGCGTTGAGTCGACTCAAAACACGACCCATTGAAGGTGGTGCCTGGTGCGTTGAGTCGACTCAAAACACGACTCATTGCAGGTGGTACCTGGTGCGTTGAGTCAACTCAAAACACGACTCATTGCAGGTGGTACCTGGTGCGTTGAGTCGACTCAAAACACGACTCATTGCAGGTGGTACCTGGTGCTTTGAGTCGACTCAAAACACGACTCATTGCAGGTGGTACCTGGTGCTTTGAGTCGACTCAAAACACGACTCATTGCAGGTGGTACCTGGTGCTTTGAGTCGACTCAAAACACGACTCATTGCAGGTGGTACCTGGTGCTTTGAGTCGACTCAAAACACGACTCATTGCAGGTGGTACCTGGTGCGTTGAGTCGACTCAAAACACGACTCATTGCAGGTGGTACCTGGCGCTTTGAGACGACTCAATACACGACTCATTGCAGGTGGTACCTGGTGCGTTGAGTCGACTCAAAACACGACTCATTGCAGGTGGTACCTGGTGCGTTGAGTCGACTCAAAACACGACTCATTGCAGGTGGTACCTGGTGCGTTGAGTCGACTCAAAACACGACTCATTGCAGGTGGTACCTGGTGCGTTGAGTCGACTCAAAACACGACTCATTGCAGGTGGTACCTGGTGCGTTGAGTCGACTCAAAACACGACTCATTGCAGGTGGTACCTGGTGCGTTGAGTCGACTCAAAACACGACTCATTGCAGGTGGTACCTGGTGCTTTGAGTCGACTCAAAACACGACTCATTGCAGGTGGTACCTGGTGCTTTGAGTCGACTCAAAACACGACTCATTGCAGGTGGTACCTGGTGCGTTGAGTCGACTCAAAACACGACTCATTGCAGGTGGTACCTGGCGCTTTGAGACGACTCAATACACGACTCATTGCAGGTGGTACCTGGTGCGTTGAGTCGACTCAAAACACGACTCATTGCAGGTGGTACCTGGTGCGTTGAGTCGACTCAAAACACGACTCATTGCAGGTGGTACCTGGTGCGTTGAGGGAGTTATCTGGAGCAGGTGGTACCTGGTGCTTTGAGGGAGTTATCTGGAGCAGGTGGTACCTGGTGCTTTGAGGGAGTTATCTGGAGCAGGTGGTACCTGGTGCTTTGAGGGAGTTATCTGGAGCAGGTGGTACCTGGTGCTTTGAGGGAGTTATCTGGAGCAGGTGGTACCTGGTGCTTTGAGGGAGTTATCTGGAGCAGGTGGTACCTGGTGCTTTGAGGGAGTTATCTGGAGCAGGTGGTACCTGGTGCAAGGGCTTGCGTGGCTCTTAGCGCTTCTTGTAGGCCCTCCTGCCCATGCACAAAACGAGTCACCTACAAAGGGGGATGGGAGAATAGAAAGGGAGAAATATTAGTAAGAAAAGCGTGTTCGTGTTTTCCCCGATACTTCTTGTATCCCTGTTCCCCATGCACATAACGAGTCACCCAGTAAGGAGGACGGGGAAAAACGGGGCCTGTCTAACACAGGACTGAGAATGCATATAGTATACCCCCCACTCGCCCTCCTCCCTCGTCCCCTTCTCACCTGTCCCCTCACCCCTTCTTCCCCTTTCTCCTTTCCTTTGCCGCCCACTTCTCCTCGCCCTGCCATCTCCACTTCTCTCTCTTCCATCCCCCACACCGCCTCTCTCTCTCTCTCTCCTGACCTCGTGTGCAAGCTCCTTCCCACACTTCCCTCCCACACCGCTGCTGTCTCACACTTCCCTCCCACACCACCTCTCTCTCACTCACCTCCTGCGCCAGTAGCTTTTGAACGGCGTTGGGCTCTAAGCTCGAATGGCATATGGCGGGTTGAAGGGCCTTGCACACGCCCCTCACTCCTTCCCTGCCCTGCAAATCCCCCTCGACCACCCCTTGTCTTCCTCGCACTCACCTCCTGAGCCAGTAGTTTCTGGGCGGCGTTGGGCTCATAGCCCGGCTGACACATGGCGGCCTCCCATTGGTCGATCTCCGCCACGGGCAGGAAGGTGAGCATGCGCAGGAACTTGATGACGTCAGCATCAGGCGTGGCAAAGAGATACTGAGTGGATTGGGAGGGCGGGGAGGAGTTTTGAGGCACCTCAAAAAACGTCTCAGTTCACGGGGATGAGAGTGTTAGATTATACTACTCTTCTGTATCCTGCATTGATCCTATAAACCCTAGGATAGAGATAGGCACACAAACTATGTTTGGGTGCACAACTAGGGTTAACCCTAGTTGGGGGTTGGAACCCAACCTTGGTCCAATTATTGGCCTCCAAGGTTGGGTTGGGAGATTATTGGCCCCCCCAATAATGTTGGCCCACCTTTGGCCCGCCTTTGGCCCACAATTCTCCAACATTATTGGGACCCCCCAACCCCAGTAATTCTCCAACCCATCTTATTGGTGGGGAGCCAATAATGTTGGCTAGGTAACCAACCAACCCCCCCTCCCCTAGCTTCCACTATGTAAACCCTCATGATTCCTAATCAAGTCACTGGTTCAATTCTAACAGAGAGTAGGCCTTTGACGCAGGGTACTTTTGAGAATGGCAGAGTATGGGAGGAGGGGAGGAGGGGAGGAGGGGAGGAGCGGAGGAGGGGAGGAGGGGAGGAGGGGAACAGAGCAGGCACTTGTTGGGGAGGGAGTGGAGAGGTTGTAGGGGGCGAGAGCATGGCCGCACACACCCAGATGGCCTCTCCCTCCGACTTGCCCCTATAAGAGCATGGCATCCCATAACCCTCTGTTACCCCCTGTCACCCCTTTGCTACACCTCGTTACCACTCGCCACTACTCAAACTCACCTGGTAGAACTTGTAGGGCGAGAGCATGGCAGCAGACAGCCAGAGGGCCCCACCCTCCGACTTGCCGAACTTGCTCCCGTCACTGCGCAGCAGCAGCGGCCACGTTAGCCCAAACACACTCGGACCCCTCTCCCCCTGCTCCTGCTGCTCAATCTCTCCCTCCTGCTCCTCTTTTGGCTGCCCCTCTAGCTGCCCCTCTCCCCCTGTGGCCGCCCTGGAGGGAACAGCCCCTGCTGCCTGCAGCCGCCGAAGCAGGTCGGTGCCGGCAGTGATGTTGCCCCACTGGTCACTGCCGCCCATCTGCACCGTGATGCCCTTCTCCTTGTACAGATGCACAAAGTCATAGCCCTGGAGGGAAGGAAGGAGAGGGCGTGGGCGGCATGTAGGAGGGTTGGATAGGATAGGGGAGGGGAGGGGAGGGGAGGGGAGGGGAGGGGAGGGGAGAAGGAGGAGCAGGTGGGTGGCGGCAGTGATGTTTCCCCACCACACCCCACCACACTGGTCACTGCCGCCCATCTGCACCGTGATGCCCTTCTCCTTGTACAGATGCACAAAGTCATAGCCGTGGGGAGAGGGAGCGGACGGGTGGGAATGTATACACGAGGGTTGAACAGGGGAAGGGAGGGGAAGGAGCAGGTCGGTGCCGGCTCTCTCTCACACCTTGAAATCCCTCCCTCCCTCCCTCCCTCCCTCCCTCCCTCCCTCCCTCACATGCACGCTGTTTCGCACCTTGAAACCCCTCTCTCACTCACCTGCAGCAGCTGGTATGTGAACTCCGTGTAGCTGATCCCTTCCTCTGACACCACTCTCTTCTTCACACTCTGTTTCGCCATCATCGCCCCCACCCGCGCATTCTTGCCTACGTTCCTCAGGAACTCCTGAGTCGTGACTGTGCCCATGCCCCTCATCCCCCTCAGGAGCCCCCACTATTCCTCACCTGCAGCAGCTGGTATGTGAACTCGGTGTAACTGATCCCCTCCTCCGAAGCCAGTCTCTTCTTAACGCTCTCCTTACCCATCATCGCCCCCACCCGTGCATGCTTGCCCACGTCCCTCAGGAACTCCAGCAGCGAAACACCTTTCCACCAGTCGTAGTTGTTCACTAGCTCTAGCCTGCCGCCCGGAACGCTTCCTTGGTTCTCCTGACAAACAGAGGAGATGAATGGGTGCGTGGGCAAGGCGTGGGAACTTAGTAATGAAAGGAGAGTATACACGCCCCTGCCACCAATCATAGCTGTTCACTAGCTCGAGTTTGCCGCCCGGAATGCTTCGTTGGTTTTCCTGCGGCAGGGTTGGGTGGGATGGGGTGGGATGGGGTGGGGTGGGGGAGGGGAGGAAGGGTGGGACAGGAGGGAGGAAGGGTGGGACAGGAGGGAGGAAGGGTGGGACAGGAGGGAGGAAGGGTGGGACAGGAGGGAGGAAGGGTGGGACAGGAGGGAGGAAGGGTGGGACAGGAGGGAGGAAGGGTGGGACAGGAGGGAGGAAGGGTGGGACAGGAGGGAGGAAGGGTGGGACAGGAGGGAGGAAGGGTGGGACAGGAGGGAGGAAGGGTGGGACAGGAGGGAGGAAGGGTGGGACAGGAGGGAGGAAGGGTGGGACAGGAGGGAGGAAGGGTGGGACAGGAGGGAGGAAGGGTGGGACAGGAGGGAGGAAGGGTGGGACAGGAGGGAGGAAGGGTGGGACAGGAGGGAGGAAGGGTGGACAGGAGGGAGGAAGGGTGGGACAGGAGGGAGGAAGGGTGGGACAGGTGGAACAGGAGGAGGAAGGGTGGGACAGGAGGGGAGGAAGGGTGGGACAGGAGGGAGGAAGGGTGGGACAGGAGGGAGGAAGGGTGGACAGGAGGAGGAAGGGTGGGACAAGGAGGGTAGGAAGGGTGGGACAGAGAGGGGAGGAAGGGTGGTGACAGAGGGGAGGAAGGGTGGGACAGGAGTGGAGGAAGGGTGGGACAGGACAGGAGGAAGGGTGGGACAGGAGGGCGGAAGGGTCGGGACAGGAGGGAGGAAGTGGGGACAGGAGGGAGGAAGGGTGGGACAGGAGGGGAGGAAGGGTGGGACCGGAGTGGAGGAAGGGTGTGGACAGGAAGGGAGGAAGGGTGGGACAGAGGGAAGGGTTGGGACAGGAAGGGAGGAATGTTGGTACAGGAGGGAGGAAGGGTGGGGCGACAGGAGGGAGGAAGGGTGGGACAGGAGGGAGGAAGGGTGGACAGGAGGGAGGAAGGGTGGGACAGGGAGGGGAGGAAGGGTGGGGACAGGAGGGAGGAAGGGTGGGACAGGCGGGCAGGACACGGGTGGGACAGGAGGGAGAAGGGGGGACAGGAGGGCGGAAGGGTGGGACAGGAGGGAGAGGAAGGGTGGGACAGGAGGGAGGAAAGGGTGGGACAGGAGGGAGGAAGGGTGGGACAGGAGGGAGGAAGGGTGGGACAGGAGGGAGGAAGGGAGGGTGGGACAGGAGGGAGGAAGGGTGGGACAGGAGGGAGGAAGGGTGGGACAGGAGGGAGGAAGGGTGGGACAGGAGGGAGGAAGGGTGGGACAGGAGGGAGGAAGGGTGGGACAGGAGGGAGGAAGGGTGGGACAGGAGGGAGGAAGGGTGGGACAGGAGGGAGGAAGGGTGGGACAGGAGGGAGGAAGGGTGGGACAGGAGGGAGGAAGGGTGGGACAGGAGGGAGGAAGGGTGGGACAGGAGGGAGGAAGGGTGGGACAGGAGGGAGGAAGGGTGGGACAGGAGGGAGGAAGGGTGGGACAGGAGGGAGGAAGGGTGGGACAGGAGGGAGGAAGGGTGGGACAGGAGGGAGGAAGGGTGGGACAGGAGGGAGGAAGGGTGGGACAGGAGGGAGGAAGGGTGGGACAGGAGGGAGGAAGGGTGGGACAGGAGGGAGGAAGGGTGGGACAGGAGGGAGGAAGGGTGGGACAGGAGGGAGGAAGGGTGGGACAGGAGGGAGGAAGGGTGGGACAGGAGGGAGGAAGGGTGGGACAGGAGGGAGGAAGGGTGGGACAGGAGGGAGGAAGGGTGGGACAGGAGGGAGGAAGGGTGGGACAGGAGGGAGGAAGGGTGGGACAGGAGGGAGGAAGGGTGGGACAGGAGGGAGGAAGGGTGGGACAGGAGGGAGGAAGGGTGGGACAGGAGGGAGGTCCCTTTGTTCATCATCCCCCCCACCCGAGAGTGCTTGCCCGCATCCCTTGGGAAGTCAAGCAGCAACACGCCACCAGTCCAGCAGCAACACGCCACCAGTCCAGCAGCAACACGCCACCAGTCCAGCAGCAACACGCCACCAGTCCAGCAGCAACACGCCACCAGTCCAGCAGCAACACGCCACCAGTCCAGCAGCAACACGCCACCAGTCCAGCAGCAACACGCCACCAGTCCAGCAGCAACACGCCACCAGTCCAGCAGCAACACGCCACCAGTCCAGCAGCAACACGCCACCAGTCCAGCAGCAACACGCCACCAGTCCAGCAGCAACACGCCACCAGTCCAGCAGCAACACGCCACCAGTCCAGCAGCAACACGCCACCAGTCCAGCAGCAACACGCCACCAGTCCAGCAGCAACACGCCACCAGTCCAGCAGCAACACGCCACCAGTCCAGCAGCAACACGCCACCAGTCCAGCAGCAACACGCCACCAGTCCAGCAGCAACACGCCACCAGTCCAGCAGCAACACGCCACCAGTCCAGCAGCAACACGCCACCAGTCCAGCAGCAACACGCCACCAGTCCAGCAGCAACACGCCACCAGTCCAGCAGCAACACGCCACCAGTCCAGCAGCAACACGCCACCAGTCCAGCAGCAACACGCCACCAGTCCAGCAGCAACACGCCACCAGTCCAGCAGCAACACGCCACCAGTCCAGCAGCAACACGCCACCAGTCCAGCAGCAACACGCCACCAGTCCAGCAGCAACACGCCACCAGTCCAGCAGCAACACGCCACCAGTCCAGCAGCAACACGCCACCAGTCCAGCAGCAACACGCCACCAGTCCAGCAGCAACACGCCACCAGTCCAGCAGCAACACGCCACCAGTCCAGCAGCAACACGCCACCAGTCCAGCAGCAACACGCCACCAGTCCAGCAGCAACACGCCACCAGTCCAGCAGCAACACGCCACCAGTCCAGCAGCAACACGCCACCAGTCCAGCAGCAACACGCCACCAGTCCAGCAGCAACACGCCACCAGTCCAGCAGCAACACGCCACCAGTCCAGCAGCAACACGCCACCAGTCCAGCAGCAACACGCCACCAGTCCAGCAGCGACACGCCACCACTCCAGTCGTAGTTGTTCACGAGGAATCAACACACCAGCAGCACACTACTGATCATGCCTTGGTATAATCTCCCAGCTCTCCAATTGGCCATAGTTTTGAGGCGTCTCAAAACTAAATTAGCCACGAACTGCTGATCATGCCTTGATAGAAACTCCCAGCTCTCTCTTTGGCCATCATAGCCCCCACCTGTGTGCGCTTGCCCATCATAGCCCCCACCTGTGTGCGCTTGCCCATCATAGCCCCCACCTGTGTGCGCTTGCCCATCATAGCCCCCACCTGTGTGCGCTTGCCCACGTCCCTCAATCGCGGGACGGGGAAGGGAGCGTGAGAATGAGGCAGAGCAATGGCTGATAGCTGCAGCTGCAGCTGCAGCACAGCACACACACACTCACCGGTCGGGACAAGATGTCTTGGAGAACCTTGTATATCCCACTGCTGTTCCTCGCAACTGTTTCCTCATCCATCACGGTCGCTCCACACTCTTCCCTGAAGGGTCCCCCACCCGCGCTCAGCCTGTTTGGTACCCCGGCCGCTCCACGTTCTCCATTAGTGGGCTCTCTGGGGCGGCTACCAGGACGTGACAGGATGGCACTCTACAGCTCATCAAACTCACCGGTCGTGCTGACTTTTGAGTCAACTCCAAAGTCACCTCTAAAAGTCACCTTTTGAGTCGACTCAAAAGTCACCTCTCTGGGGCGGCTACCAGGACGTGACAGGATGGCACTCTACAGCTCATCAAACTCACCGGTCGTGAGAGGATGTCTTGAAGGACTTTATAAATTCCGCTGCTGTTCCTCGCAATCGTCTCCTCATCCATCACTGGCCGCTCCACACTCTTCCCTGAAGGGTCCTCCACCCTCATCAAAGCTTCATTCCAGCCCTGAACTCACCGGTCGAGAGAGAATGTCTTGAAGAACCTTGTAGATCCCGCTGCTGTTCCTCGCAATCGTCTCCTCATCCATCACTGGCCGCTCCACACTCTTCCCCGAGGGGTCCCCCACCCGTGCTGTAGCCCCCCCCAGCAGCGCCACTGCTGTGTGCCCACACCGCTGCGCCCATGCCAGGGCGATGATGCCAAGGAGATTTCCGAGGTGGAGTGATTCTGGCAAAGGGGAGGAAGAGGAGGTGTAAAAACATCAGTCGCCTTTGGAGGACCTGTCCCCCACGCCACCCGTGCTGTGGCTCCCCCCAGCCAGCAGCGCCACTGCTGTGTGCCCGCACCGCTGCGCCCATGCCATGGCGATGATACCCAGGAGATTCCCCAGCTGCAGCGACTCTATAGAGGGGTGGAAAGGGGGAGAAAACATTGGAAGCTCATTCTGGAAACTTAGGCAAGCGTAATCCGTGCATGAAAGTAACCCAGGTTAAAGCATGACGAGAGCTTTGAGACGTCTAAAAACACATTGAAAGCTCATTCTGGAAGCTTAGGCAGGCGTAATCTGTGCATGACTTTTGAGTCGACTCAAAAGTCACTTCTGGAAGCTTAGGCAGGCGTAATCCGTGCATGAAATTAACCCAGGTTAAAGCATGACGAGAGCTCACCAGCGGTGGGGTCGAAGCCGACGTAGATCTTCAAAGGGTGCTCTGCCGCTGATCATGGGTGCACGGGGGCGAAGAGGGGTGACGAGGGGTGAAGAAGGGTGACGAGGGGTGAAGAGGGGTGACAATGGCCGAGATGAAAATGCAGCAGTGTAATCAAACACGGTCAGAGTGCTATTCTTTTCCCCCCAGGGTGGAGGGGAAGGACGGGTAAACACGTGTTCTCCTAGAATGGGTGGGTGGGTGTTGCAAACACGTGTTTCCGTAGCATGTCGCAAAGTGAGAGAGGAGTGTGACTAGAACAAAGAAGGGGGTGGCACAGGGCTGGCCTCACCTCACCTCACCTTCCCGCTTTTGAGTCGACTCAAAAGCGAAGGGGGTGGCACAGGGCTGGCCTCACCTTCCCGGAATGCCTCGCTCGTGACTGCATCGGCCAGGCCCCTCTCCCTCAACACGTCCAGCAGGTTTGGCCTTCAAGGGGGGAGAGGTGCGGGGGGGTACGTATGGGTAACGATGGGTGATGATGGGTGATGGCAGCGATGGCTGGCAACGCTCGTGTCTGCATCGGCCAGGCCCCTCTCCCTCAACACGTCCAGCAGGTTGGGCCTTGCGTGGGGGGAGAGGATGATGGTCGGTGATAATGGGTGGAGGAGGGGGAAAATGAGGCAGTAAAGGAGGGGGGACACAACATTCTCGTGACAGCATCGGCCAGGCCCCTCTCGAGAATTCTCAAAAGTAACATCAACATGGGAGAGGCGGATGAGGCAGAGTACAAGGCAGGCAAGGATGGCCGGCTGGCAGCTCTCGTCACCGCACTCCCCAGCTACGTTGATGCTCGAGGCGCCTCAAAAGACTTTTGAGGCGCCTCAAAAGACCTCTCGTGGCCGCTCTCCCCAACCATGTTGATGCTACTTTTGAGAATTCTCACAAGCCCCTTCACTCTCTCTCCCACGACACGTCCAGCAGGTTGGGGCTTGACTGGTGGGCGGGGGGGGTAATCATGGGTAGTGATGGGTGATGGTGGGTGATAATGGGTCACAAGGAATGAGGCAATGCGGGAGGGGGTACAAGGCGCTCTCGTGACTGCATCCCCCAGCCCTCTCTCCCCCACCTGCTCCGCCCCCCACCTGCTCCGCCGATCCCCCACCTGCTCCGCCTGTCCCTCACCTGCTCCGTCTGTCCCCCACCTGCTCCGCCTCTCCCCACCTGCTCCGCCTATCCCCCACCTGCTCCGCTCATCCCTCACCTGGTTGCGCTCTCCTTCACTCCCGCCAACGCTCGCTCCGTGACTGCCGCAGCCGCAGCGGATCCCACGCCGCCATCTCCGCCGGCAGCAGCGGCAGCCGCGAATCGACGATAAGACGAGGACGCGCTGCGGGACGCCTTGGATTTGGAAGATAAGATTCCGACTGATCTCGACGCGCACGGCGCGCTTGAGAAAACTCTAGTGGAGCGATCGGGCAGTGCTGACGTGGCGCTTTGCGAGGCGACAGCTGGGGCGGCGCTGCTGACTGGATACTGTGCGGCGGGAATATTGAGCGACGAAGCGCAACGGGAATCGAGGCGCAATGCGCGATGCGGGATCCGCGGCAATGCGCGCGATGCGGATAGTCGCAGCATGGCGGACGGCGCAGCCATGATTTGCGCGGGGGGATGCGGGAACTGAACGGAGGGGTTCAGGGGAAGAAAGTCGCGGTGGGACGAAAACGGTCTACGCGGCAATATTAGGAGTCGCCGCCGCAGAAATAAGTTGACGCGCCGCGAATGCTACGCGACAGTGAAGCAGCAGCCACTCATTAGTGGTGAATCATCTGCAAAAGTGATTTGAGTGCCACGTCATCCAGGGAAGATGCGTGCCTTATGGGCACTGCTTCAGCCACAAAGCACTTGTCCGCGCAAAAGAGGGCTCTGCTACATGCCACAGCTGGTTGTAAACGCAATAAATTGCTGTACGCAACAAGTTCACTCCAAACTCGAATTACTTTCTTATTACAGTATCAAAATTTCGTTTGCGAAAAATCGCTGTTGTTACAAGACCCGTTCCCATGGACTGCTGGCATCACCGACATCTACAGAGCTACGACCCCTAGTCGAAAGCTGCGTTTTCTGCCACGCGTCTCCCAACCCAAGTATCTACATTACTGCCTGGTGCTCAACATTTTGCTGGGTTTTGGTTGTCATTTGTTCCTAAGTTCAATTGTGTGTCGAACGACTCGACCTAGGAACGAGCCCCCAAGATTCCTGCTCGAATTGATTCCTTCCTTCCCTGCAGCAGCAACAGATTTGCATGCAAGCACCACCACCAAGCATTGCAGCTTCCTCGCAACGCAAAGCAGCCCGTCAGTCGGCCCAAGGACGCGATTCCTTGTTTCGCGAGCGATCTAGTAGGTCGCTGGAACGGCGTCGCTTGTTACGATCCTGCGTAATATTGTCGTAGCGTGGGACCCGGAATCAAAAGCATACTTTTAATATCCACGCTCTTAATTTGAAGGGGAAGTTCGTACTTTTCCATAACAGTACTGAATTGCTGTAGGGATTTCGAATCTGACGCGTGATTTTTCGTCGGATCTCAGTACGATCCGATTTTTAGCCGTTGCGTAATACTGAGAAGTGGATGTGCTAGGGGAGTGGAAGGAGACACCGCGTGCCACTCCAGCCTCTGGCGCTTCTGATTCGTAACGCGAGCAGCAACCCTCTAAGCCGTGCGTTAGCCGCGTAAACTGTGCGAAAGCAGGCTAATCCGTGCGAAGCGCCGTACACTGCGCTGCGGCCCCTTAGAAACGTGAAGGATCCAGACCGGAATGACGTGGATTGCGGAATGGTTGGGTAGTCTACCGACGCCGCTGCTGCTGCTGTTGTCCGCTGTGAGTGAATCACTAGCTTCTCAGTATTTGAGGTATCTAGAATCAGAAACATACTGATTTTCAAGGCGCCTCAAAAATACGCTTTTGAGGCGCATAGAAAATTATCATTTTTATTTTTATTTAAGTGCCTCAAAAATTGTCCTTCGTAGTCGCCTCAAAAATCGTCTGACTAACATTTAGGTGATTCTGAGGTGACCTGCGTTGAGGTAAAATCAAATTCTGATTCAAGAGTGTATACGTGGTGTCATGGAATTCAATGTTAAGAAACCCTTGGGAATGTCGAAGTGACATTGGGGATGTGTGGGTCACAGTGAGTGTCGGAGGGACATCGGGGAGTGGTGAGACTCGGTTAAGGAAGCTTGCGAGATTGTTTATTTTCTTCTGACCCGTATATCCGTAATACCACATGTACTTGCTCGTCGTTCTAGGTTGAATTCCAGTCCCAGTCGTCTCACTTCTCACGGTTTCACCTCCTTGCCTATGTTCTTCTGACTTTGTATTTCTGTACAAGTACAGGCGCTCCTCGCTCTTGTCTGGATCCTAGCCCTCCTCATATCGCGGCTCGTTCTCCTGAACGCGGGGATCAGGTGGGCTTCCTCATAAGCCGTGCAGATTGCTGCTAGATCCACGTGGCACTTTGCTGTGTGTCCCCCTCAACCTTTACAGCCGTTGTGGGACTGTTTCTGTGAAGTTTCTTGCGAAGCACTGTTCATGGATAGAGAACCTCACCCTCACCCTCACCCTCACCCTAACCCTCACCCTCACCCTCACCCTCACCCTCTCCCTCTCCCTCACCCTCACCCTCACCCTCTCCCACACCCTCACCCTCACCCTCACCCTCACCCTCACCCTCACCCTCACCCTCACCCTCACCCTCACCCTCACCCTCACCCTCACCCTCACCGTCTCCCTCTCCCTCACCCTCACCCTCACCCTCACCCTCATCCTCACCCTCACCCTCACCCTCACCCTCTCCCTCACCCTCACCCTCACCCTCACCCTCACCCTCACCCTCACCCTCACCCTCACCCTCTCCCTCACCCTCACCCTCACCCTCACCCTCACCCTCACCCTCACCCTCACCCTCACCCTCGCCCTCACCCTCACCCTCACCCTCACCCTCACCCTCACCCTCACCCTCACCCTCACCCTCACCCTCACCCTCACCCTCACCCTCTCCCTCACCCTCACCCTCACCCTCACCCTCACCCTCACCCGCACCCTCACCCTCACCCTCACCCTCACCCTCACCCTCACCCTCACCCTCACCCTCACCCTCACCCTCTCCCTCACCCTCACCCTCACCCTCACCACTGCCTGCCTGCCTCTGTGGCCTAGAGCGCCTCTGCCCCCCTCTCTCCCCGCCCCATTACTGTTTGCAGTGGCTCAGAGAGGGAAGCGACTTTTGAGTCGACTCAAAAGTCACTTAGTGGCTCAGAGAGGGAAGCGACTTTTGAGTCGACTCAAATGTCACTTAGTGGCTCAGAGAGGGAAGCACTCTTCATGGAGGACCGTTCCTCTGTGGACAAGGTGCCTCTGCCCTTCCCCACTGCCTGCTCTCTCTGCTAATTATTGGCTCACTTGAAGCCTGTCCCTCTTTCCAACCACCCCCCCCCCACTCCCCCTCTCTCCACAGCCACACGGAGCACGACACACCCTTCATGGAGGACCGTACCTGTGTGGACAAGGTGCCTCTGCCCTTCCCTACGGCTCACTTCCAGAGTTTTTTCCCTTCTTCTCCTCCCCCCCTCTCTCCACAGCCACACGGAGCACGACACACTGTCCATGGAGGACCCTACCTCCGTGGACAAGGTGCCTCTGCCATTCCCCCCACTGCCACGTCTCTGCTCCTTATCCGCTCACTTCTACTGGAGTGTTTGTGCCCCTTCTTCTCTCCCCCCCCCCATCCACAGCCACACGGAGCACGACACACTGTTCATGGAGGACCCTGCCTCCGAGGATAAGATGCCTCTGCCCTTCTCCACTCCTTGTCATGGATGATAAGGTGGATAAACTCCCCCCCCCCCCCGGGCGTGTTTCCCGTCCTCCCTCCCCTCTATTCTCAGTCACACGGAGCCCAACACACTGTTCATGGAGGACCCTGCCTCCGTGGACAAGGTGCCTCTGCCCTCGCTGTTTGCTCCCGCAGAGCCTCAGTGCCATAGAGTGCCATAGAGTGCCATAGAGTGCCATAGAGTGCCTTTGCTTCCCTCTCTCCCCGCCCCACTACTCTTTGCAGCGGCTCAGAGACAGAGGCTCTATACATGGAGGACCCAACTTCAGTGGACAAGGTGCCACTGCCGTCTCTGTTTGCCCCGGCAGAGAAATACCTCACTGTGGTGTGCCCTGCTTATAACGAGGACAGAAGAATTGCGGCCACTCTGGACGAGATTATCAGGTGGGGAGGCATGGGAGAATTTTTTTTAGGGTGTTGAAAAGGGTAGAATGCCTATTGGGGTACTGGAGGGAAGGGTTGTATGGCAATAGTAGTTTATCACGCCACTATCGAATACAGGACAGCAATACGCACAGACCCCCTCCCCCACCTCCCCCCCTCTCCCAACACACACACACACCACCAACTAAGTGTGCAAGTAATATTAATGTTTTGACCCCATTGCATCCCCTCTCCCCTTCCCTCTCCTCCTCTCCCCCCCCTCCCTTCTCCTCCTCTCCTCTCTTCCTCCACTTCCCTCCCCTTCAATCCCCTCCCCTTTCCCAAGCAGTTATGTGCAGGAGCGATCAGCCAAGGACGCAGCGTTTACCTACGAGGTATCTCACCGCACTGCACTGTCCCGTACCGCACGACTCCACTCTGCACCGCACCTCACGGCACTGCAC